AGCGTGAGCGGCCAGCAGCCGCAGTGAGCAGCCGTCCAGAAGCCGGCGACTGATCTGCCTCACCCGGGAAGAGCGCAATGATGGTGCCAACTTGGGCCAATGAAGCAACATCCTCCACAACTAGACTGAAGAACAAAGCAACAGCAACTTGTCTGTTCCCCTTCCCCCAATTCCCCAGCATTGTTCCCATCCCCCCAATTCCCCAATAAAAATCTTAAAAAAAAAAAAATTTAGAAAGAAAAAAAAATACCAATAATTTAAAAATTGATTATATTTATCTATATTAATTTATGTGTTCCATTACTACAAAGCAAATAGAGGGATATGGTGATCATTTATCCTCCTGAGACAAGTTTTGATTCTGAGGTGACTCAGTGCCACCATTCACTGATGTACCTGTCCCTCCGAGTGTGATGATGTGGGGGAGGGCCCTCAGCTTCCTTGTATTGGGTTGTCTGAAAAGTCATGCTGTATTTTTTCTATGTTTTTCGTTGCAAAAATATGTCATGACTTTTCCGACAACCCAATTAATGAACATGGACCCACTTTTCCTACGCCCTTCACAAATAAAGGTCACCACTATTACTTCTTCCCTACAGTAACATGTGTACATTAAAATATGTGTTGTGAGAATTAATATTGTTTTATAACATATGACCCAAGGAATTTTAAGTTGTCCTTCCTAAGGTGTATATCTTGAAATGTTTTGATTAAAACAATCTAATTTGTTAAAGATTTATTATTCTTGCACACTGTTATGTAGGACCCGAAGGGTTTACAGATTCAAAATAACTCAGATTAAATTGTAGCTTTAAGCTTTTGTTGAATTTGACTAGTATTTGTATTTTAGTTCTATAAAAACATTTATACGCTTATTCATAACTCCATAATTCAACAATAATTTTTTTTAATCTTCCCATGACATCGACACTGTCTCTAAATATATTTTCTCTTCCTCAGATATTAGCAAAATCATAGTTTTCTGGATTTCTAGTAAATGTCCTGTTGGCTGCCAGATTATGTCTACGTAGGACCATCTGGCACCACCTTTTTCCAGCTGTAAACACTCCAATAATAAATAGGAAGATGCTCAGAATAACTAGACAGCCAGACTCCAGAATGGCGTGTAAATCTGTGTTTAGTTTGTGTTGTAAGAACTCTGATTTTTTTCCATACTATACTTTTGTAATTTCCTGCTGCTAATGTGCTTATTAACACAGGTCTTACATGAGGTAGGCTCACGAGGTGGGGGGAGGAAATCCTTCATTCTTGTTTCAGTAGCACAAAGCTGAGCTGATAACATGATTCTCCCCAATTCTGTTCAGATGTTGGCCAATTGCCAAGAGCTGGCACTTGTCCAGGAGTGTTTTGCTGTCGAGACTTAATTTGACCTGCTCATTTTGGGATTTATTTTTTGAGGTTTGTGATACTTCACTAAGGATATGGTCTTGCAAATGGTTTTCTTGATGAGTCTGGTATCTTCCATATGTTTTGACTCAATGATTCCATTACAAAATACATTAATACTACTAGTAATGGAACAAACTGAAGGAAGTTTTGGCCATTTTCTTTCTCCCCTTCCCTCCCTCCTTCACTCCCTCCCTTCCTTCCTGTGTTAGCTATTTAAACAATCATAGGTGTTACCTCCAGAAAGGAACCTTTTCTATAGGCCATTGCTAGTTCCTTGTATCTAATATAATTATTCAAATCTTCACCTCTTTCACTGCCAAGCTCTTGTTTGTTATGTCTTTGATAGTACTGACCTCACTGGATTCTGATTATTCAGTTGCCTGTGTTTCCCAGTGGACTGGCATTTAGAGGGTGAGATAGTGGCCTAGGGGTCTCAGAAGCTCATGCCTGGCACACAGTAGGTGTTAAATAAAGATTTGTTATAATGAACAAATATTCCTTGTGTAGCGCTGAGTTTTTCATCCTGCAGTTTATTGTTCCTTTCCTGATGATCTTTGAACTTTTTGAGGGCAAAGAATGGGTCTTAGTTACACATGTCTCCATATCCCCAGCCTTTTTTAAATGTTTTATGAGCACTTAATAAATGTTGAGTTGATAGCCAAGAAATTCCTCCTTGTAGTTAAGTAAAATATTTTTCATTCTACCCGTTTCTGTTTTTTACATGCTCAAATGCCAACTCACCCTTGAGAAATGGCTGAGGAGACATTATCAGACACACCCTAGAGTCAGTTCTTTATAATTCTGCCTCAGCTTTTTCTTTGGAGTGCCTCATTGGTTCCTGCTGGCAGGTCTGACCCTGGCCCCTTATCCTGGTGGATACTCTGTCCAAGTGTGGACAAAAACCCTCTTTTCTGTTTCTCATTAGGGTGGTTGAGACAGGTTGGGATATTCAAGAAGAATTTTACTAAAAAATTCGAAAAAAAAATTTGTATATGTATACTCAATTTAGAAATAGTCATGTTTCCAAAATAAACAATTTAGAACCTTGGAGTTTTAGTAAAAACATGAAGAGATTTGCAATATCCCATATCCCTGTTATCTTAGGGATACACTATGTATGTCCTCTTTGAACCCAGTGAGTGACCAGACTCTTCTGGGCCCTTGTTTTGTAGGGACAAATCTAGAGCCTGTCCTCCCCCATGACACGAAGTGGCCTGTTGAAAAGCCACCCACCACACGGCCCTGACTCACAGGCCTGTTACCCACATATAACAGAACATAGTTCTCCTCACAACAGTCTTGTTGGTCTCATGTATTCATTCTTTGTTTTCTAAAATGGAATTACCAGGTTAGTTTAGTTGACTCTAACTTGGGCCATTTATATTATTTATGTAAATAGTGTGTAGGGTATTAATTATTCGTTTTTCCTTTTGATTGATTTTTGCATAGTGCACAGATCATTTTCTCTCTGCAAAATCCATTTCAATCTAAAGTTTGCCTTGAGCACACTACATTATATAGAGCAATGCATTCCTCTATTAAGTACTGAGTACTTTAAGTAGCTTAAAGTATCTGAATTTGCACCTGCATCATTTAAATATTATACCCTGTCAAGAATCCCCTAGCAGGCTTAAGAGAAGGATAAGAACTATTAGATTGCCTGCATAATTCTCAGACTTCAAAGTAAAATCCTTTCCATCCATATCAGAAGAAGTAGAGCAAAATGAAGTTGATTTCATTTCTTTCTCCTCCTCGATGACTTGGTTTTGTCTGTGACTAACCTGTTCTTCCTGAGGGGATGTCAAAAAAAAAAAAAAAGACAATCCTAGATCTGCCTTTCAGGATGGTGCTTATGGTTAACCTCAGTCATGCAATTTGATGAGGCTGCTGGGCCATATATAGAAACTCACAAACCTCATTTTGTTTCCTGGGTAACTGAGCTGGGTATCCTTGCTGTTTCAGGGGTGAATAGCCTTTCTCAGTCACTCAGTGCCAACCCATTGACTGCCACCACTCTCATCCATCTGGACCTCTCAGGGAACATCCTTCGCGGAGATGACCTCTCGGTAGGTTTTCCTTTCTTACTGGCACCTTCAAAGAAGCTGTATTTAATAAGCCTAGAATAATTTCTAAACATGGCTTTCTAGCATATTTCCCTGCATCTCCCTTTATCAAGACAACCTAAAATCATTTCATTAAGAGCTTATGAAGTGTTTTAGAGAAGAAACTCCAGAGCTTTCCTTCAATAGAGCTTGTCACATAGATTTACCCCCCCCCATTTAATGTTACTGAAGTTTAAGTTCTTTTTAGAAATAATTTTTCTGAAGGAATTTTGTTCTGTATTTACATTGCAGCTGTTAAAATTGCCTGATAAGAAAGATTGAAAATGTAAACTTATTTCATCATTAATATTGTTGGGAATACGGGTGGGGTTTTTTTTTCCCTTTTAATATAGTTTGCAATTGAAAGGAAATATTGGGATAAACTCCAGTACTGTAGTCCATGAATACAGTAGGGAGAGGAAAGGGTTAGCAGCAAAAAGGAACTACTCTTTAAAGTTTAAGTATGAAGGCAGACGCTTCCGCCAATGCTAACAAGATTTTTCATACAGCCGAATTGGTAATATACATGTTTGGTAGTTCTTACTGATACAGTGAATTAAGTCTGATCTCATTTCCAGATGTGGTGAGTGGTGCCCTCTGGTCATCACATAAGATTGAGAAGAAATGCTCCCTTACCAGTAGGGCCTACAGCAAGTGGGCATCATTAAAGGACCTTTATTTGCGTTCCACATTTTTATGGGGGTGAAAAACACTGTGAAATGTATTCTCATTTCTCTAATATTTTACTTTCCCTGTAAGGCAGGGGATGTTGGCCAGCCTTTTTGGTAGTTTCCCCCTCTCCTTTACTCTCAAAATTCATTTGAATAATACTTGTTGCCTGGTTCGCCGTGACTTTTAAGGCATTGTCCAACTTTAATTGTCACTTTCACTGATGACTCATAAATGTGTTCACTCCCAAGTTGAAAGGATGTCCAGTGTGAAACCACCAAAACATTACAGTGATAAACTAGAGGAACAGAGAGAGTGATGCAAGAGCCCGAAGATTAAATAGTAGACAGTCCTTTTCTTGTTAGATTTTGGAAGTAACTAAGGATAGAAAAACCATTGTGTTAGACAGAAGGGTGTATAGCCTGAGACCATCCTATGGTTCAAATTCAAATTACTAACCTCTTGAACACTCTCAAAAGTGTTCAGCATTTTGATAGGGTGACTGCCATTCAGGTGGTATTTCAATCTCAACAGTTAAAATTAATTAGCACTGTCCTAAAATTATAAAAATGGAACTGATCAGGAAAACTAAGTCATGGATAACAAAAAGGCAGTTTGGTAGCCAAGATTCCATTTGGCTTTTTTTTTTAACTTAAACATAATTTTGTTTTAAATATTCTTTGGATTTTTTGCTCTCAACGAAGGTAATGAACAACATAAAATTCTGCTAATCCTCTTGGGAAGAGTAGAGAATGATTCTGGGAGGATTTGGGCAACTTTATTTTGAAATATTAATGGCACTGTGTGTGTGTGTTTCTAGATCCTAATATATTTGTTTTTTGTTTTTATTTCAAGTACATGTACAATTTTTTGGCCCAGCCAAATGCCATTGCTCATCTGGATTTATCCAACACAGAATGTTCCCTGGACATGGTAATGTTTTTTATATTGCTCTGGGAATCTCAGAACAGCTATTTAGATGGGATTCAAAGGCTTTCTCTGTAATAAAATATTCTCTTAGACCTAGAAATATGTGAGAATAAGAGTGACTTACTTCTTTTCTAGGTCTGTGGTGCTCTTCTCCGCGGATGCCTTCAACATCTAGCAGTGCTCAATCTCTCCAGAACTGTCTTTTCTCACCGGTATGCATTTCGTCCTGCTGTCATTATCATCTAGGAGTGTCTTTCTCTCAGAGAAAGTTGTAGTGATATGAAAACAGAGTGATAAAGGGTGAATGTTGTACATGTAAAAAGAAGATAGCCTTAAACCATTATCTATGAATACTAGGTCTGGAAAGTTCAAGTTTTTGTTGTACCTGTTTTCACCACAGTTTGATGTTCTTATCAATTACTCCAGCCTGCCTATGTGAAATATATGATAATGTACTATTTCTCACATGTGGACAGGTACTCTCTCCATATAGTAAAGACTCTTTAGAAGCTTCTACAGGTGTTTCTCAATGATGAACTTGGAAGTAAATATAAACTATCTCTGGGGAGCAAAGAAAATACTCATCCCAAAACTCATACATTTTAACCTGTAGAAGTTGAGTACCTTCTTGACTTAGAATTGTTGGCAAAATAGGGCAGAAAAAATAGAAACAGCAAGTATTCACAAGCAGCAACAACATAGGATGGAGGGAGAATAAAGAATAATTATGGAAAGTCCATGGGTTATAAAAGTGTGGAATCCTGGGACAGCTCAACACTTAACATTCATAATTATGATCATAAGTCATAAACAATATTTTAGTCATATATACTCTTTAATAACATGGAGAATTGCTTAATATTAGAAATACCTCCATTTTTACTAGTTAACTTTTTAAAAGCATTCATACTCAAAGGAAACCCTCAGTTATTTGGAAAATTCAGTTATTCAGCACACTTTATTCTATAGTTGTGCCTCCAAATGAATTATTATGTATTTTAAAGTCCTATTGGACCGTTACTTCAACAGTGATATAAATCTTTACGATAGCAAAAATACACCACAAATACCTCAATAGAATAAGAACAGAAAAGTTGAGAATTTTCTAAGATACTTTATTTTGAGGGTATTTAGACCAACCAGTTAATTCATGTATTTGAAGGCAGCTTATAAAGCCATGCCACTGTGGAACTGTGATTGACTAAGGAACTGAGTTAGAAGCAGTATCAGACTATAAAGATATTCAGCTCTTTTGAGTTTCTAATACTGTAATTCTGTGATGACTGCTCTTTAGTAAAGCTATTAAACTCGTAGAGCAGACTGTGCTAACAAATTGCTTTGTCTTCCAAATGAAAGGTTGTGATTAAACTGTTTAGTATCTTACCTAAATGTAATCATAGAAAGCCCTTAGTAATTATCTTGCAACTGCTGCATTTATAGCGAGTTGTAGATTGTCAGCCAGGCTATTCATAGTTTTGTTCACAGATAATTTCATAAGAGTATCACTTGGGATAGGTTAGGTTGTTCTACAGTAACAGATGAGCCTCCCAGCCCGGCCCCATTTCCATGGCTTTCAGCAACAGTAGCTTTGTGACATGTCCCTTGTGGGCTGGCCACATGGCCTTCACTCTGGGAGGCAGAGTAGTCTCTATCTAAAACACGGACAGTCGTGTACCAGGGGAAGAAGAATCATGTACTGGCAGGTAAAGTCTCTCTCTGGAAGGTACACACACCACTTCTGCTGTATGTCATGTCCTCTTGGCCAGAGGAACTCTCATGCGTCAGTGGGGTGAGGAGCCTCATCGTCCGTCAGAAAGGGACAGTGAATATTTGGAAACCTGGAACAGTCAACCCCATGACAGAATAGTCAGAGGAGAATTATATTAAAAAAATAATTTAACTTTTCCTCCTGCTCCCCGCTCCCTGCAAGCGCATTTCTGGCTGCATAGCATTCACTCCAAGCTCCTCCTATGCTAGCGCCCGCCATCCTCTCCTCCCAACCGCCATCATGATCATCCACCCAGACTTCATCTGCCATGATGAGATGTTCTCCAACATCTACAGGATCCGAGAGATCACAGACGGGCTGTGCTTGGAAGTGGAGGGGAAGATGGTCAAGGGAGGGGTAACACTGATGCCTCACTCATTGGTGGAAATGCCTCTGCTAAAGGCAAGATACCTGAGGGCAAAGGTACTAAAAGTACAGTAGCCACTGGTGTTGATAGTGTCATGAACCATCATTTGCAGGAAACCAGCTTCACAAAAGAAGCCTATAAGAAGTATATCAAAGATTGCATGAAATCAAAGGGAAACTTGAAGAACAAAGACCAGCAGCTGCAGAACAAATCAAGCACATCTTTGCTAATTTCAAAAACTACCATTCCTTATTGGTGAAAACATGAATCCAGATGGCACGGTTGCTCTGCTGGACTACCGTGAGGATGCTGTGACCCCATAAATGATTTTCTTCAAGGATGGTTTAGAAATGGAAAGATGTTAACACAGTTGGCTGTTGGGATCCGTCACCTGTCATCATCATAACTGGCTGCTGCTTTTCATCCACACACCAGGACTAGGACAGATGGGACTGATATGACCTTGAGCTTTTCGTTTATCTTGACCCTGATTTATTTGGAGTGGAAGCATTGTTGTTAAGAAAAACATGTCATGTAGGGTGTCTTAAAATAAAATGCATTTAAACTCATTTGAGAGAATGCCTGTTAGTTTAATACATATTAAATCCATCCTGTGTCGTGTTCCTGGAGAAGCTAGAGCCTGGTAGACCACTACCATAAAGCATAAGACTGTCTTCAGATAACTTCTACAGCAAAAACTACTTCTGAGACTGGAATAGAAAAAACAAGGATCAAAAGTCTCAGTTCAGAGCTGAAGTGAAGGAAAAGCCCATGCTCACAGCACAGCCAACATTTGGAGTGGATTCCTTAGACCTTTCATCACCTACAAATGGAATTAGTTAACTCTGGAAGAAATTATCAAAAGAATAAAAAGACTAATAAAATTGGAATAGATAAATAATAATAATTTAACAATGTTTACTCATCAAAAAATCAATGGGGATATACTTATTTTGTTCTACAATCTGGAACCAGAGTTGTTGGAAACGTCTAATATATATTCTACCAGAATCTCTTTCCTCTTATGTTTATTTTTCATCCTCTTAGATTCTGGTTGCTTAGATATTTCTTCTCAAATAGCCTGAAAATGCCCTGTTTTAAAACAACATTTTTCAAATATTGATAGGTTTTCTGGGACCTGAGTACATCAAATATTATTGAATCTTTTGTGGTTGAGCTAGACCAATAAGATGCTCTGAGATTCTGTGAATCCTTCCACAGAACATGAGTAACTATCATTAAATAAGTGTCTACTGTGCCTCAGGCTAAGTGCTTTACACAAGTGACTTATTCAATCCTTCCATGAATTCTTATCAGACAGAACAAAACAGGCAAAGTGCTCACCTTCCAGCTTTGATTCTGAAACCTTTTTTTTCTTAAACCCTCACAGTATGGTGTTGACTGTTTTCTTGCTTGCAGGGCTGTATGATTCGACCCACTTACTTCCCACTGTAATAGAAAGGGACGTATTTGGAGGTTATAGCCATTCTTTTTGGAGTTTTGTCTTTAACTATTCTATTATTTGGCCAGGAATGACTAGATTTGTGATACGGATATAAGAGCTGAGCAGAAAGTTTGCCACGCAGGCTTCATGCCAATCAGACTTTTCATGTAGTTCCTCAGCTTCACATCAGGTCACAATCTTGTATCTGAGACATGTTGCATCTAAAAATAGTGCCAAATGCAGGTAGCGATTCTTAACATTCAATGTCACCCAGCAGGAAAGCTCATTGAATTGCTGAGAAAAATATATTGTCATGGACCTCCTATTTCTTAAAAACCCGAACATGGAGTTTTGGGAAGTTCTATAGGTAAAACACAATGAGTTCACTGGCTACAAAGAAAAGGAATAAATTATTTTAAGGACTGAATGGGATGTCTTAACTTCTCTTACGTCATTCCTTTAATTGTATTGGATTAATTTATTTAGCTTTCAGACATTTTGTTTCTTTTTACCTTTAACTTTCTACTGAAAATAGAACGGATCCATGGATTATTTCACAGTGTCTGAATAAACAATGAATACTTTTGCCAATGTGGAAGTCAGGGGCTGAGCTGGAAGTGTAACTGTCAGTCAGGGTGACTCTCATATTTTGTTTTTCAGGAAAGGAAAAGAAGTACCTCCGTCTTTCAAGCAGTTTTTTAGTAGTTCTCTGGCTTTGATGCACATCAACCTTTCAGGCACAAAACTATCTCCTGAGCCCTTAAAGTGAGTGTTTAATTCATTTGCTACAGAGCTTTTAAAGTTCAACTTGTTATTAGGAATGTGCTTGAGAGAAAGGGAAAAGACATTTAACCCTAAGACAGACAAGGCAGATGAAAATCTTTTTACTTTGGAGCACAAAAGGAAATCAAACTCTTTTGAGTATATTGTGCACTGTTGATATTGCATCTTATATGAAAAAAGAAATCTTTCTTCATTTGTGACCTTGACAGTAGTCACTGATCTTGTATAAAAGTGTGTGCCCGAGTTTTATTATATTAACCTGCCTTTATTATATTAACCTCTGTTTAATCCATTTTAGGTATAGTCTTGTGTCTTTTTAAATCAATATTTATTCTAAATATTTCTACTAACAGTAATAAACTCGACACCCACGTGTGTGTAACGAAGTCAGTTTTGGGTTTCTGAATGACCTAGGTCGATATAGTCTATCTCTTTGGTATTTTTTTACTTGGCAGCCAACTTATGTTATGGGTTAATACTCTAGTGTAGGTGTAGTTAGTGGTGAAGTTAAACTTTTTAGCTAAATTAAGGTTTGAGTATAATTTATCATCCTGGAAATTTCTGCTCACCATTCCCAGAAATAATCAAAAGGGCTGTAGAATCAAATTCTCTTTGAGTTTAAAGAACATATATTCAAGTAGTTATGAATATGCACATTGTCAAATATGTTTTAATGTGTGCACAGATTTCTTTTTCCCTCAGCTGACATGTAAATCAGCACTTAATTTTCCCCATGTAATTTGTATGAAATGTTAAAATCAATGTCTGCTATCTGTATTACTAGGTTAATCTTCGTCTAACTTGTAAATTGCCTTTTCTTTTTTCTTTTTGAGAGATATGAAATTCTTGATTACAGTATTCCACATAGTACCATCTGACTAAAACAAAGGATAGCATTAAGAGCAGTAGATCCTGTCAAGTGCTAAAAAAAACACCCTAACATTATAGCTGGCCTTTTTCTTTTAAACATTGAATTTATGTATTAAAGGTCTCCAAATGTAACAGCTGCAAATAGTAAAAGCCTCATGATTAGGCTGTTTGTATGAATATTAATAAAGCTATCAGAATCAATATTCTAAAGGAGGGACCATTATAATTTAATCATACTCTATTACTTATTCGTTCATTAAACTGGTATTTAGTGAGCATTTACAATATGCTAGATACCAGGAGGGCACGAAGTAGAAAGCAAAACCAGACTTGATCTTTGCCTTCATAGTGTATCAACGGGAAATTGGCATATCAAAATGGTTTTAGTGATAGGTACATGGTGTTCTAATTCTTTCAATGCAATTGATTCCTGTGACATACAGAGTAGTTCTTTCTTGATTAGCATAATTGATCATATAGAGTATTCCACACCACAACAACACTGGATTTACTGTACTTGATTATAGATATAGATTTGTAAATATTACACTTTAAAGTTATTTTGTAATTGTTAAATCTTGTAGCCTGTGGTTATTTATGGGAATGTTTAATTATGTTAAATCAGTAGCCTCTTCAGGTCTGTGTTTTATCCAGTAAAAATTTTAATGTGAGGAAGAAGACTTCCTGGCTGGAGATTGTGTAAACAACATTCTGTACATACATTGAATGTGATATAATTTGAAAAGATGTAACAAACTGAGATGCTCAGGTTGACCTGTGTGGGGTGGGGAAGGAAAGGGAACTTGCAAAGCATGACCCTAAGCTGAATGCTGACTGGATGCTTATATATGAACTATCATTATTAATTTTGTCAACAGTGTGGGAAAGTGTTATTATTCCTATTTACAGTTGAGGAAATTGAGGCTCAGAGAAGCTGAGTAATTTGTCCAAAGTCCCTGTGGCAGGTTGCGTTTCCTGGGAAGTGGACTTTGAGATGGAGGTCAGTATGGCCCCCAAGAGAGAGAGGAGGAAAAAAAAAAAAACTTTTTTGGAAAATAGAAACACTTTAATAAGTAATTAAACAGAAGCATGCACACAGATGAGATATGCTTAGCCTTTCTCAGAGGACAGTGTTTCGAATAAGGGCCTAGTGAACTGGATTCAAGGGATGAAGAGACATATGTTCCCTCCATACTCCTTAACAGCAGGAGTGGTTTTCATAGGAGGAAGCAGCCAGGCTCTTGTGCTCCACGCCCACTGCAAGGGTTCCTCTCCGTGGAGGAGGCCAGGGAGTCAGTGGAAGGGAATATCAGAGACTGGCATGAAATAATTCCCTGCCTCCCACTCACCCTGGGCTACTTTTGGAACATGCTGGTTGGAGGTCATGCCCTTGGAACATTGAGAACGGAGGGGCGGGGGGTTGTTTACTCCCAGGTTGCAAATGCCTGGGTTCCACTCTCTAGGACTTCCTACCACCTGCCTGCTATCACAGTTCTTCGCACTGTTTCCCTTGCTGGAGAGGGAGCCCTCTCTCACTCTTTGGCACTCCTCACAGGACCCAGTTGAGAGTCTCTTGTCCCTTCAGTGGGATTTAATGGGTGTGTGCGCGCAGGTGTGAAATTTTTGTTTCAAGCCTGCGTAGTGGTGTTGGGTTTTATGGGACTGATTTGTGAACAGGGAATCCGTTCATTCTCTGAGAGGGAGGTGGGATCCACATGGTTAGTCAGTCTATCAGCATGCAGATGACAAAAGTCCTTTTCAGGGCAGGGATGTGGTTGCCCGTGACCAGCTGCCAGCCACACAGACTGGCAAGATCCTGTTCTCGAACTCAGACTTGAGAGTTGTACCTTATTTGAAGTGCTGTTCCACCCTTACCCATCTCACCTCTGTAGGTTTTTTAATAAGCCATCTAGACATAATGTCCTATCCTGGCATACTTCTGGAGCCTGACTTCCTCACTAACACACTCCTTAGATAAAACCTGTTTCACTTGGCTACTCCAGGAACAATTGCATAATAATCCTAACATTAAAGCCATTCTCAAGCAGATGCAGGTGAGAATTTATATGTGATGAACACAGTTTAATTTCAGTGTACAGTTAGGGATATTGCTGGTTTATTTGTATAGGAATAGCAGTCCTGTCGGATTTTGCATTTATGATGAACCTTGTCAAACAGAAGAATGTTGCAGCATCATTTTTTCACTGCTGTCATGAGGCAGAAATGCAGTTGGCATTTTAAAAAATGAGATGGTACTTGGTGTTTGACCTATGAATCAGAAAAGGCATTTTTATTCTATGGGCTTTATTCAGGGTGAGTACATGTTTTTAGTGTGATGTGTAACATCTCTATCTCACGTGTGTGTTTTCTCCCTCAGAGCACTGCTACTGGGCCTGGCCAGTAATCATAACTTGAAAGGGGTTTCTCTTGATCTCAACAACTGTGAGGTAAGAACACCTGGAGACTACACTAGGAGAGACAATAGCCTCAACACTGTTTTGTCTTTTTCCTGGAAAAAATGTTGTACTGTGATTTCAGAAGGTAAAAATGAAGCAGAAAAATGCAAGCTTATAGAAGTTTCTGATGTTCTGTGTTTTGCAGATTTTATCTATAGACAGCCGCAGATCCCCAGTCAGAAAGCATTCAAGTGTGTTTTTAATGACATTTCTTTTTAAATCCCTGTCCCTGTTCTTGCTGCCAGTTGCTTAAGTATTTTATGATGAAGCCTTGGGATATAAAGCCATTAACATGAAAATTGTAATCTAACGCATTTCTTGCAGGGACAAGTGTGTATACCCTAACTTGGATTTAGAGAGTTTGAAAGAGAATAACTGTCATGTCACTAATTTTACTTTTTCATATCTTGATTTAAAACATAAAAATTAAGATGCTTCTCAAAATCGTAGCAATTCCAGACACTTACTATCAAAGAACACAGAGAAGAATTGAGACTAAAAGCCCCTACATTTTAGAGGGTGCCTGAAGTTTACTATCTTGACACTTAGTTTGTGTGGGGATTAGTAAGAAAATACCCAGATACAAAACACTGGCCTCTTTAGAGCCTGCCTATACCCAACATGTCCGACTTGGTCTCTTTTCGGACCTGAAGCTGGAAGTCTTTCATTCCTGTTCCTGGGCCTTTATGACTGACCACAGCCCTCCCTTCCCGAACACTCTTAGCATGTCCCTCTTCCCAAGGGTATCCCTCTGTTCAAGGATCTAACTCAAGGATCTAACCCCACACCTGCATCAAACTCTGGGGTTTAATCAAAGTTTGGCCATTACTAGCTGTGAACTCCTTGATGAATTAGTTGATATTGATACATCTTAATTTCTGCATCTGCAAAATGGAGACAATATTATTATTGCCTTTCCCAGTGGTTAGGTTTAAAGAAGTCAGTCTTTGAAAAGTGCTTCATAGAGTGTCTAGGACATACAGAGGGTGCCAAAAAACAGGTGCCAAAAAAATGTATACACATTTCAGGAAAGGAATCAACTATTAAAATTGTATAATAATACTCGATATATACCGATAACAAAAGATGAATACAAGTCACGTTTGACTTCTGCGATTACAAGAGGTGCTCCTAGTGGTTACCGTCAGCGTCCAGACACTTCTGATTATGGTGAACTACTGCTTGAGCAATGCTGACCAAAGTGTCCACTTGTATACAGTTTCTTGGCACCCCGGGTATAAGGTTGTTAGCTCTTGTTTACCTGTCTGTCTGTCAAATTTATATTAGGTAAGCCATATAAAATCCACACTTTTGTAGGTCAAAATGCAGACTATTGACAGTTTCATGTGGTTCTACCAAATAGCTAGTAAACTTTTTCTGTATAATTTTTTCCTATTAAGAGAGGAATCCAGATGAAATGATCGCTCTCTGATGGTGGGATTGACCATTAGTATGATGATAATTCCAGCTTCATGTTGGCTATTCATTTATAGATTGTAGGAAAAAATGATATTGCCGAGATGGGGAACCCTTAAAACTATCTAAGTACCAGATTCTTTCACCATCTTATAGCTTGAATCACAATACTGGTGACCACATTTATAAAGTCATACTTTATAGTGTTGCTCATGAAAATTGGTGAAACACAAAATTATTTTTCTGAACTAATGTGTCTTGTCACATTTTTTGCCTTAGGGATAGATGTCCTTTACTCATCTCTATGATGTAGTAAACCTTTCTCCTAAAAGGCATCTGGGGCTATGATATTATCCATGTAGAATGCTTGGCGCTTTAATCATTTGGTTCTTCACAGTTTAGGTAAAACTCTCAGAAAAAAGCTGTCACTAACTTGGAAGTTTCAAATTATACTTATGTGCATTTTTTTCAAGTTCATTCTCTATTTAGTCACAGTAGGTACTGTCTTCTGTACTCTTACTTAGCATGCCAGTCAAAATCATGGAAGAATTCAGCACTTAACCTTCTTTAATGATAAGATAAATTCTCCACCAGTGGTGATGGTGAATGAAACGTTTTCCTGACACTGTAATTATCTTGGAAGGCATTTACACAGGGATGACGTACTGAAGATGAGGGGCTGACATACCTGAAACGAGTCCAATGTCTGAGGCATAATAGTGGCAGTTGCTGATGTGGGCACTGTGCGGGTTCAGTGCCTCCTGCAGGATACTCTAGTACAACAGCTTACCCAAGGCATGGAAGCAAAGAACCAATGTGAAATGCCTTGAAGTCTTTTTATATTTATAAATAATTAATTATAAAACAGCTATTGTCCACTGATCAATTTTAAAGTGAAGTTGTATGGGTGTCATCCTCTGAGTGAAGCTGTAAATGATCATCCTCTGAGATGGTGGTTGAGTTTATTAGGAAAGAGGAGAAAGTAACCTTGAAGTAGGAATTAAAAGTGTCTAGATAGGAAACTTAGAATAACTTCGCTTCAGCGAATTATTTTTGTTTTTACCTTATGCTGGTTCCTGTGCTGTTCATTCTCAGCTTTCCTGATGAATTGTCCTTGTAGTATTTTGGGATATTTCTGTATTCCTCTGAAACAGACATTAAACAATCATTAATTTGAATGAGAAGAGATTTACACTTTATGCTATTTTTTAAAAAGTACCATACAGGTATTTAGAAATTATGGAGTTAATTTTCTACAACACAAACATTATTGTTATTTGGAAACTCAAATCCCAAATTTTAAACTGTATTCTTTTGGATCTGTGAGGGCAAAGCTAACAAGTACAGAAATTAAACTTTTATTTACAGATAACTTCTATACTTAGCAAAAAAACCTCTCTGTGTTCCTTCAGATGTTTCATATTAATTATGTTATCACTTCTTTTCCTTTTTCTTGGTCTTTTAGTACCAAAGAGGAGTAATTTCTTTTTCTTTTCTTTTCTCATTTTTTATTGTATTTGAAATTTTTTTCCCATTACAGTTGACATTCAGTATTGCTTTATATTAACTTCAGATGTACAGAATAGTGGTTAGATGTTTATATAATTTATGAAGTGATTCCCTTTGATTAGTCTGATACCCAGCTGGCACTATACATAATTATTACAACACTATTGACTATATTCCCTATGCTGTACTTTACATCCCGTGACCATTTTGTAACTACCAAATTGTACTTCTTAATCTCTTCACCTTTTTAACCCAGACCCCAACCCCCCTCCTATCTGGTAAACATCAGTTTATTCTCTGTATCTATGAGTCTGTTTCTGTTTTGTTTGTTCGTTTACTTTGTTCTTTCGATTCCATGCATAAGGGAGATGATATGGTATTTGTCTTTCTCTGTCTGACTTATTTTACTTAGCATAATACCCTCTAGGTCTACCCATGTTGTTGCAGATGGCAAGATTTCATTCTTTTTTATAGCCAAATGATATTTCATTGTTTATATGTACCACACCTTCTTTATCCAGTCATCTATTGATTGGCAGTTGGGTTGTTTCATATCATGGCTATTGTAAATAACGCTGCAATGAACGTAGGAGTGCAAATATATTTTCAAATTAGTGTTTTAGATTTCTTCAGGTAAATACCCAGAAGTGGAATTGCTGTGTCATAAGGTAGTTCTATTTTTAATTTTTTGAGGAACCTTCATATTGTTTGCAATCCCACCAACAGTGCACAAGGGTTCTGCTTTCTCCACATCGTCACCACTTGTTTTTTATTTATTGATGATAGACATTCTGTCAGGTGTGAGGTGATATCTCATAGTGGTTTGGCAAACCTCGACTCTCCTTTGCTTTTGTTCATCGGTGAGCTCCTTCAGGACCATTTTTGCACACACCTTTCTCATGCCAAGATTTTCCGTTAAGATTTTCCTAACTGTTTTTCTATTGATGTTTACTTGGTCTGTTTTGCTTCTGGCAGTCAGCTGACGATTTTGACGCACAATTTGATGAATTTTTATAATGTTTTCATCAGTTCTGCTTGCTACTGACCACCCTGACCTCTCTTCACCAGTGACGCGTTCTCTCCTCTAAGAAAAACGTTTAATCCATTCATACACTGCCGTTTTCTTCATGGTATTATCCCCATAAACTTGGATTAACATGTCCCTGATTTCACTCCCACTCCTGCCAAATTTAACAAGAAATTTAATGTTTGTTCATTGTTGTCATTCAAGCTTGGACATTTCTCACAACAGCACACAAAAACATGCACAATAGTAGTGAATGCCACTCAGCAAGACACTGCCACACATTGACACAGACACAGCTGTGAGACACTGATATTACCAAGGTTATGAAACCTTACCGAGCTGCCAATGTAAGCGCACGGTGGCAAGTTCCCAAATTTAACTGTCAGACCTCATATAGTTTCTTTTAG